CCTGCCATGGGAATAACAGGAGGAAGCTCAAACTTGGGAGGAGGTTAAAACCTGCCCTTTGAAGCTGAAGTGTGTCCACTCAGGAATCATTAAAATCCAAGTCCTTGTGAAGCACATCCATCCAGCCATCTGATGGCCTGACTTTGGCCATTTGCTAATTGGATGCTCACGGAAAATCTAAACCCAGATGTCATTATCTCCCAATCTTTGAACACTTCTGAGTGCACTATACTACTATACTAAAAACTGGAGTTAATAAGGGAAAAATGCAAGTAAAATTTAGTAATGACAGTGTCCTTGTCAAAAAAGAACAAAAATGGTAACACATTAAATAATAGATCAGGATTATGACTGCTCTCATTCCTTAAATAAACTTTGAGAACTACAATGTCTACTCAAGCCGCTTTTTGGAGAGAGAGAGAGAGAGAGAGAGAGAGAGAGAGAGAGAGAATATGAATTGAGGAACCTCTTTTTTCCTACTTAAGGTATTTCCTTAAAAGGAGTCCAGTTGCGGCCGAGTGCAGTGGCTCACTCGTGTAATCCCAGGACTTTGGGAGGCTGAGCTGGGCAGATCACTTGAGGTAAGGAGTTCAAGACCAGCCTGGCCAACATGATGAAACCCTGTCTCTACTAAAAATGCAAGAATCAGTTGGACATAGTGAGTATTGGCACGTGCCTGTAATCCCAGCTACTTGTGAGGCTGAGGCAGGAGAATCACTTGAACCTGGAGGCAGAGGTTGCAGTGAGCCGAGATCGTGCCACTGCTGCATTCCAGTCTGGGTAACAGAGTGAGGCTCCATCTCAAAAAAAAAAAAAAAAAAAAAAAAAAAAAAAAAAAAAAAAAAAAAAGCCGAGCCACTTAGAATATATAGGTGTCAGTTCAACAAATTTATTTATAAAAGGCTACATTCTGATCAGGGTCCCCTTCCTATCTTTCCCTTCCTTCCATATACTATTTTGCAAATTAAACTGCTAGGTAATCTTAAAGTAATAAGAACGGGACTCATGGGCACAGTTTACTGTCTATATTAATGAAAGTTTATACTTTACTGGCTTCATTAACATAATTTTACTAATACAGGAATCTCCTAATTAGGAAAATTAAAATTGCAAAAAAACTTTATTGTTCTTTCCAGCAATTGCCTGAAAGATCCATCAACTCCTCAATAAAAAGTGTCAAATTACAATTTTCTTTTCTTTTCTTTTCTTTTCTTTTCTTTTTTTTTTTTTTTTTTTGAGACCGAGTTTCACTCTTGTTACCCAGGCTGGAGTGCAATGGCACGATCTCGGCTCACCGCAACCTCCACCTCCTGCATTCAGGCAATTCTCCTGCCTCAGCCTCCTGAGTAGCTGGGACTACAGGCACGCACCACCATGCCCAGCTGATTTTTTGTATTTTTAGTAGAGACGGGGTTTCACCATGTTGACCAGGATGGTCTCGATCTCTTGACCTCGTGATCCACCCACCTCAGCCTCCCAAAGTGCTGGGATTACAGGCATGAGCCACCGCACCCGGCCAAATGACAATTTTCAAATCCAAAACTCTTTGAACCGCATGTCTAAAAAGTCTTGTCTTGCTGCATCCACCAATCCTAAATCATTATGACTCCTACCCAGTTCTAACCAAACCATCTCCCACTTTAAAACCCCTGCTTTATGCCAGACATCAAAAGCAGAACAAATATACCTAAAGCCCTTTCACATCTGACATACTAGGGCCTCTGTGGAGGTAGTGCTCTACCTTATAGCTTTATGCAAATAATGTCATCCCTGTCTTATGAACAGGTTATTTGGCTGATATTTGGGGAGTAGAGTATATGATGAGCATAGTCACCACTGCTGTATATCATGTTACAATAGACTAAGCCCAAATTCTGGGACCAATATTATGTTAGTCCGTTCTTACTCTGCTATAAGGACATACCTGAGAGTGGGTTCTTTATAAAGGAAAGAGGTTTAATTGACTCACAGTTCCACAGGGCTGGGGAGGCCTCTGGAAACTTATCATGGAAGAAGTGGAAGCAAACACATCCTTCTTCACATGGCAGCAGAAGAGAGTAGAATGAGGAAAAGGAGAAAAGCCCCTTATAAAACCATCAGATCTTGTGAGAACTTACTCACTATCACAGGAACAGCATGAAGGTAACCACCCCCATTGGATCCTTTCCACAGGACATGGGGATTATGGAAACTACAATTTTAAAAGAAATTTGCATGGGAAGAGAGCCAAATCATATCATATGTATGGGTATTTCTGAACCATACACTGTTTGAATAGCTTACAGGTATATTCAGAGAAATCAGTTACCAGTCCAGAGATTAAAATGTGCAATAATACAACCTAAAAAAGGAAGAGGTGTGAATTTATTTGGTCTACACAAGTGGTTCAATTCATTGGGAGTAGCATGGCAGAAAATCTCAGACTAGAGAAGGAAGTTATTAATCAAAGCATAAAAATTGGCCAATGTGTCAGGATCACTTGGGCCCAGGAACTGAAACAAGCCTGGACAACACAGTGAGATTCTGTCTCTAAGTAAATAAATAAATAAAAGAGTTTGGCATGGTGGCACACACCTGTATTCCCAACTACTTGGGAGGCTGCATCCTGAGAATTGTTTGCACTCAGGAGATCCAGGCTGAAGTGTGGTAGTCATGCCATTGCCCTCCAGCCCGAGTGACAGAGTAACACCCTGTCTGAAAAAAAAGGGCATGTATAAATGTAGACATTAAAATAATTTCTGTTGCAAATGGCCTTTCTGAGACACGTCAATCACTAAGGTTGACATGGGACTATCTGTTCCCAAAGTTTTTGGATGCATGAAAATGTTAGGGCAAGAGAGAGAGAAAACAATAGCTCTTTTTTTTTTCCCAGAGAAATCAGATTTTATTTATTCCTAAATAAAATAGGAAGATCAAGCTCAGTTGAACAATAGCTCTTAAGTCCCTTTCTACTACAAACATACTGGGGATTCAGATGTGAGGACAGCAGGAAATCCCTGGCTGACCCTGTATGTGCCTGACTCAGACTGCACGCCCCTTGCTGCTCAAGTCCCTTGTTGTGATGTGTCTTGCTGTCTACCCTACAGAGCTATGCTAAGAGAGGTAGTGACTTCCTTCTGTCTTGCCAACTAGGAGTCAGCGAGTAGGTCTGCAGATCAGTAATCCTAGAGGTTTTTTTAAATTGCATTTTAGGTTTTGGGGTACATGTGAAGAACATGCAAGATTGTTGCATAGGTATACATGTGGCAGTGTGGTTTGCTGCCTTCCTCCCCCTCACCTATATCTGGCATTTCTCCCCATGCCATCCCCCCACCAACTCCCCACCTCTCACTGTCCCTCCCCTGTTTCCTTCCAATAGACCCCAGTGTATAGTGCTCCCCTCCCTGTGTCCATGTGTCCCCATTGTTCAACACCCGCCTATGAGTGAGAGCATGCAGTGTTTGATTTTCTGTTCTTGTGTCAGTTTGCTGAGAATGATGGTTTCCAGCTTCATCCATGTCCCTACAAAGGACACAAACTCATCATTTTTGATGGCTGTGTAATATTCCATGGTGTATATGTGCCATATTTTCCCTGTCCAGTCTATCATCGATGGGCATTTGGGTTGGTTCCAGGTCTTTGCTATTGTAAACAGTGCTGCAATGAACATTCGTGTGCATGTGTCCTTATAGCAGAATGATTTATAATCCTTTGGATATATACCCAGTAATGGGATTGCTGGGTCAAATGGAATTTCTATTTCTAGGTCCTTGAGGAATTGCTACACTGTCTTCCACAGTGGTTGAACTAATTTACACTCCCACCAACAGTGTAAAAGTGTTCCTATTTCTCCACATCCTCTCCAGCATCTGTTGTCTCCAGATTTTTTAATGATCGCCATTCTAACTGGCGTGAGATGGTATCTCAATGTGGTTTTGATTTGCATTTCTCTGATGACCAGTGATGATGAGCATTTTTTCATGTGTTTGTTGGCCTCATGTATGTCTTCTTTTGTAAAGTGTCTGTTCATATCCTTTGCCCACTTTTGAATGGGCTTGTTTGTTTTTTCTTATAAATCTGTTTTAATTCTTTGTAAATTCTGGATATCAGCCCTTTGTCAGATGGGTAAACTGCAAAAATTTTTTCCCATTCTGTTGGTTGCTGATTCACCCTAATAACTGTTTCTTTTGCTATGCAGAAGCTGTGGAGTTTGATTAGGTACCATTTGTCTATTTTGGATTTTGTTGCCAATGCTTTTGGTGTTTTGGTCACAAAGTCCTTGCCTATGCCTATGTCCTGAATGGTTTTGCCTAGATTTTCTTCTAGCAGGAGGCATCACACTACCAGACTTCAAACTATACTACAAAGCCAAAGTAATCAAAACAGCATGGTACTGTTTCCAAAACAGAGATATACACCAATGGAACAGAACAGAGGCCTCAGAGGCAACACAACATATCTACAACAATCTGATCTTTGACAAACCTGACAAAAACAAGCAATGGGGAAAGGATTCCCTGTTTAATAAATGGTGTTGGGAAAACTGGCTAGCCATTTGCAGAAAGCAGAAACTGGACCCCTTCCTGACACCTTACACTAAAATTGACTGCAGATGGATTAAAGTAATCCTAGAGGTTTAAGTGCGAGTGAGTGTGAGGAGAAGCTCGCAGACATGGTCCATGGCCTCCTAGGTGGAAGGGCTTTGAGTTCTCCATCCTTCTCCTAACAAGCAGCGATGCAACCATGGCCTTGCTGTTGTGGAGGTGCCGGACAAGGGAGGAAGGAGGACCATAGAGGGGAGGAAGGTCAGATGAACACGAAAGGGGGAAACTATTTGTGGTATTTAAGGCCCTGAGGCATATGAAACCCGCTCAGTGGGAAACAGGAAGGGTAGCGAGGACTGTGTGGCGTGGAATGGGGTTTAGCAAGGCGGGGCAGGCACAGACTTCAGTGTGCTTGCTCCTTGGGCGCCTGCCTCACTGCACATATTCACTGGGCATCTTCCCTTCGACTCCTTTGCCCACGTGGTGAACGCTGCAGAGCTGTGAGAGTGTGAGGGTAGCATTCCAGCTGTCTGGACTCTTTGTCTCCTACTGAGATGCAGCCTGTAGGTCCACAGGCCAGTCCTCCCAGGAACTGAAATGTAAGTGAATGTGAGGAGGAGCCAGCGGACTTCCAGAGGAGTCAGGCAGCGTGGTCTGTGGCCTCAGAGGCAGAAGAGCCTCCAGGTCATAAGGAAGGTGGGCCGTGGAGTGAAGGGGGATTAGATGAAGATGGGGTTAGTGTTGTGGGTGCTGTTGGAGGTATCGGAGTCACAGAAGTGTCTGGAACCCCGAGTAGGGGACAGATTCCAGACTTCTTGGTGGGGACCCAGGAATGGGCTGTGTGGACAGTAAGGAAGGTGCTGGGAACTGGGAATGCTATGAGCTGGTACCGCAGCCCCGAAGTCCGTAGAGTGCCTGGTAGAAGTGTCCAGTGGCGAGCACCCAATGCTGTGTCACAACTTTTCAACTCCACCCTGGAGGTTCGAATGGGAGGGACTGTGCATTCCAACAAAACTTTGATTTTAGGGGAGAAATCGTCCAAGCAAAGGATGTGTGATGAAAGCCGTGGTCACTGCAGTTTTAATTGTCTAGCTGTATAAGTTTAAATATCTCCACGATGGAGAATCCAGTTGTGAAACCAAACCTCATGGGAATGATCCCGTGCCTTTTGCCAGGAGCATTAAAACATTGGTCTGCTAGCTTGCCAAATGTAAGTGGTTTTTCAAGCATTCGATTCAGAAGATATACACACTTCTACTTGCCCTAGGACTTACTTTCAAAGTATTTCCATTTTTTTTTTTAAAGATTGAGATTTAACATTTGGCCATGGATGTGGTCTAATATAGCTATTCTCTCAAACACACTTTCCCAATCACAGTATTCTGTTTGCAGAGTGAAATATGAGTTGGCGAGGAAGATCAACATATAGGCCTAGGTCAGGAAGAAGTTTACAGCCTCCAGAGCTAACTGGGGCTATGCTTGTGAGTGCTTTGACATTTCTATGTTTTTTATTAGCAGAAATTTCTTTTTTGATAGTGTTGTTGCACTAGTATAGATACATTGATAAATGTCTTCCATGTTGATAAAAATGATGATGGCATCTCATGAAGGAAAGACTAATTCAAGAGGATTACATTCTGGTTTTGCCTGCATGGATAATCTTGTGTTCCCTACCATGACTTTCTCCTCATGCTTACTGATAACAGATTGCACAAATCCATCCCAACATATATTAAAATGGCTTCCAAAGCCTTTGAGGGTAACTGTCTTAGCGTAACCTCTCTTCAGGAAGAGTAACTTTGTGAAGAATAAGTATATGGAATAGTGTTGAAGAAGTGTCTTTAGACTTATTTATGATTAGAAGTATCTGTGTATTCTGTATATTTGTATTATTGACATGTATTAATAACAAGACTTTACATCTGCACACACACTGCCTTCCCTTTGTCCCAGGAGCCGTGTTGAAGAGCCTAAAGAGAAACCACCCACTGAAAGTCAGGATCCTACACCTGATCAGAAGAGAGAAGATGATCAGGGTGCAGCTGAGATTCAAGGTGCTGGGAAGGGAAAGAAATAATGTCCATTGTGGGGAGGAGGCCTATGTGTGCGTCATGCTTTATGCCATGACCAGTAAAAGGAGGAAATGAAACATTAGGAAAGAATCTCAAACATTTGTGCAAAGTAGGCTGGAAAAGTGAAGAGTATAGTTTGCAGTTTCATGCATTCCCTGGATATAATAAACTTTCTCTTTCTTTCAAGATTAATTTTGTATGCTTGAAAATACATCTCTTGCTAAATAAGATGAAACTGCTTAATTTGATATACAAAAATATACATTATTTCACTTGATTAATTTGATCTTCTTAGAATGTTGCTTTATGATTGGTTTAGCTGTGGTGTTAACAGTGTCGTAAGCATCCTTTTATAGCAAATAGAGTGCCAAGTCACCCTACCTTACAACACCCCGAATAAAGCTCATTTGCATAGGGATGTTAGCCCTGTTTTATAGAAAGGAAATGGATGCTCAGAGATTGAGGCTTACCGAGAACACTTGAGTCATGGAGACAGAATTCATATTACCTTCCAAGGTTTGTGGTCTTCCTATCATCGACACTGTTAGAGAATGTGAATGATTTTGCTTAAAATACTTAATACTGGAATGTGTTTGTACTATAAGCTACTTCAGTATTGGCTCAGGAGAAAACACAGTTCAGTGAAGCAGTACAGCAACTCCAGAAAAGTGCTCAGTGAATGACAGTCACTGTTGTCTTTGATCGATATTTTTGACAGTATCTTTGGTAAAAGGTGGATAATTCAGCACAGTGGCATACAGGTAGCTATATTAGTATGATTTTTAAAGAAATTTTAAAAGTTGCCTAAATACTTTTATAATTAGAAAACTCAAAGTACTATAAAATTTAGTACTTAAAGTACTATAAAATCAAACTACTATAAAATTATAGTTTTAAAATCCTGAACTCTCACTGGAAGACTGTGATTTTCCTCTTATTTATGATACTATATTCTCAATGGGATTTATTTATAAAAAGTTACATGTAGGGCCTTTGGACCTAAGCAAAACTTGAATTAATTTTAACCAAGTAATTTTCACCCTCAACAAGATGTGGCTGTCACAATTGTAAGTTTTTCTCATAAGCCCAGGAATACATTGATCCACTCTTTCAGAAACTTACGTTTGAGTTACTATTAAAATGCTATGCATACAGCAAACTTCAGATATCTCACTGTTCATAAAGCACAATGGCAAAGTATAGGAAATGAGGGTGCAGTGTGATTTATCCTTAGATTGTCGTTTTAAATTAGATTTCACGCCAGTTGCATTGGCTCACACCTGTAATCCCAGCACTTTGGGAGGCGGAGGCTGGTAGGTCCCTTGAGCCTGAGTGTTAGGAACCAGACTGGGCAACATGGAGAAACACTAAAAAATTTTCTGTGCCAAAAACAAATATAGAAATTAGCCTTGGTGGTGGCATGTACCTGTAGTCTCAGCTATTCACAAGGCTGAGACAGGGGGATCGCTTGAGCTCAGGAGGTCAGGGCTACAGTCATCTGAGACCACGCCCCTGTACTCCAACCTGGATGACAGAGTGAAACCCTGTATTAAAAAAACAAATAAATAAAATAGGAATTCATAATACAGGAAAACAAAGGTGTGACATCTTTGTGTCACATTTATTATCACACTAACCTACAGGCTTTTATTTCATAATTCTGTGGAACAGAGTATTATTACTTCCTTAACTATACTTCATGTTTGTTTACTTAAGTTCGTAACCTTCGTATTTTTTAGTGCCTGACCTGGAAACTGATCTCCAGGAACTGTGTCAGTCAAAGACTGGGGATGAATGTGGAGATGGTCATGATGTCAAGGGGAAGATTCTACTTTAAAATGCCAGAAGCAGGTGTGTTACCCATTAAGATGCAAAATTATGTGATTTCTACTTTTTATAATATTACAATTTTGATCATAGAGAGATAACATTACTGCCACTTTAATAACGTGTTTAAAATACACACTTTTTTGAAAGATAGTTCAGACCCTAAATGCCTGACTGCAAGACTTAAACATTACCAGATACAGACACAAATTGGGTCAAAGCCATATTGAATCATCCAATATTAAAGCATTTTCTTATTTCTGAGTATAACCAACAGGTAACAATTTTCAGATTCTTTTCCAATTTCTGCTTTTAACAAATACATAATGCATTTGTAATATCAGACTGTGTGAAATACGCTGAGCACTGAAAGAGATTCTAGTATCAGCTCTATGATAATTTGTGAGATTCTGGACAAATTCCATAAATTCTACACCCAAGTTTGCTGTTATTGAAAATGGTGAATGCAAATCAAATGTATTAAAAATCCATTTCAATGCTGATTTCTGCATGCTCTGGTTCTGTTGGATAGAATACAAAGATATTCCAATTTCCATGATTTGTTTTTCCTAAAAATCAGATTGTGTCCAATTATAGTATCTGAGCTGAAATTTCATTGCTCCTAAGAAAATGAGCAGGCACCCTGCTTGATATTTGTTTTCCAGTATGTAGACCTTCATGAGTATTCTTGGATTTTGTCAAATTCTGAATTGTCTGGCTCTTAGAGAATAATTGCATTTTTAAGCCTTCCCACAGTGAAGTCTTGAATGACTGAGTAATAAAATAGCAAGAGACAATCTAGTTTCTGTGGCCGATGAAGTAAGGAGAATGCATGTAGGTCAGTGATGCTCAAGGTGGGTGTAAGGTGCCTGTGCTAAGCAAGCTCCCTGGCCTCCTGCCAGTCTTCATGAGCTACTGTGTGTAATACAGACACATATGATATAATCACCTCTAACCAAATCATAGGTTACATATTACAGGTTTCTGCCTTGACACATCAGATGATAGGACTTAAAGTTCAAAGACCATAAGGTACTAATTCCTGAGTAGTCCACATAAGTATCTTTTACACATATTTTCCAAATTGCTGACTATTAATGAGAAGAGTTTCTGAATTTGCATGAAGAATTCCATGTTTAGGGAAGAAATTATCTAAATGTTTTTACTCCACACTGCTGAACCATTCCGTTAAACTATTTACATTAAAAGATAGTTTTCAGCAGCCTATTGAACAAGCCTCAGTTGTATTCTTAGAAAGATCATAGCCTTAAATGCATAACTTATTAGAATAGATAGCAAATTACATGATAAAATCGCAATCCTATATATAATAATAAAAGAGCAACAGAATAAACCTAGTGGAAAAGAAAAGAGGTACATAATAACAGACAGGTATGAACCATTAGTAAAAGGAAAACTAATCAAAAAGTAATACATTTAAAACATTGTTTATTTTAAAATAGCTATGAATAGACTATCTGTTTCCACAGTCTTGAAGAAAATGGGAGAAGCACAATACAGAATATGAAGAAGACACAAATATTGAATATACAGTATAACTGAAAGTGAACGCATTCTGTTTTGTTTTGTTTTGTTTATGAGACAGAGTCTCGCTCTGTTGCCCAGGTTGGAGTGCAGTGGCATGATCTTGACTGCAGTCTCTTCTTCCGGGTTCAAGTGATTCTCCTGCTCAGCCTACTGAGTAGCTGGGACTGCAGGCATGCACCACCATACCCTGCTATTTTGTATTTTTAGTAGAGATGAGGTTTTGCCATGTTGGACAGGCTGTTCTTAAACTCCTGACCTCAGGTGATCCACCTGTCTCAGCCTCTAAAAATGCTGCAATTACAGGCATGAACTACCATTCCCAGCTGAAAGTGCATACATTCTTAAACTCTAATATTTTCAGAATATAGAGGAAATGGTTGATAAGCTAGGAGTGCATACATTATTAAATATATTCCAGTAATACTTGAATATCTATTCATCACAAACAGGATGAATGAACTTGTGAAATTTGCCAGTGGTCCCTTGATAACACTTAGTTTTAGAAACAAATACTTAGTGGTTCAAATATTTAGTGGTCTTCTGCTACAACTCCATTTCGTTTTTTGTATCATACTGTTCATAATATATACCTCTTTCATATTTTGATATCAATAATGGTAATGATAGATTAAAATGAATGTGATAATACAATTAATTATACAAAGGGGAATTTGTTCAGGTATAAAAAGAGATAATTGGAACCAAAAAGGAGCCCATATAGCCAAGACAATCCTAAGCAAAAATAAAAAATAAAAATAAAAAAAATAAATAACCCAAGCTGGAAGCATCATGCTACTTGACTTCAAACTACTACAAAACTACAGTAACAAAAACAGCATGGTACCAAAACAGAGATATTGACCAATGGAATAGAACAGAGACCTCAGAAATAACGCCACACATCTACAACCGTCTTATGTTTGACAATCCTGACAAAAACAAGCAGTAGGGAAAAGATTCCCTATTTAATAAATGGTGCTGGGAAAATTGGCTTGCCATATGCAGAAAGCTGAAACTGGATCCCTTCCTTACACCTTATACAAAAATTAACTCCTGATGGATTAAAGATTTAAACATAAGACCTACTTCCGTAAAAACCCTAGAAGAAAACCTAGGCAAAACCATTCAGGACATAGGCATAGGCGAGTACTTCATGACTAAAACACCAAAAGCAATGGCAACAAAAGCCAAAATAGACTAATGGGATCTAATTAAAATTAAGAGCTTCTGCACAGCAAAAGAAACTATCATAGAGTGAACCGGCAACCAACAGAATGGGAAAAAAAGTTTGCAGTGTACCCATCTGACAAAGGGCTAATATCCAGAATCTACAAAAACTTAAACAAATTTACAAGAAAAAAACAACCCCATCAAAAAGTGGGTAAAGGATGTGAACAGACACTTTTCAAAAGCAGACATTTATGCAGCCAACAAACATATGAAAAAGAAAAGCCACACCCCTGGTCCAGGAGCCCAGTGATGAAGAGCCTCAAGAAGAGAAACCGCCCACTAAAAGTCAAGATCCTACACCTGGTCAGGAGGGAGAAGAAGATCAAGGTGCTACTGAGATTCAAGGTGCTGGGAAGGGAAAGAAAGAATGTCCATGGTGGGGGGTGGGTAGAGGAGGCCTATATGTGCATCATGAATTATACCATAAACAGTAACAGGAGGAAAGAAAACATTAGGAAAGGATCTCAAACACTTGCTGAAAGCTGGCTGGAAAAAGGGAAGAGTATAGTTTGCAGCTTCATGCAGCCTCTGGTTACAATGAATCTTATCTTTTTCTCTGAGGTTTGTTTTGCATTCTTGAAAATACAGTCCTTGCTAAATCAGATGAAACAGTTTAATTTTATATATAAAAATGTACATTATTTTACTAGTTCAATTTGATGTTCTTAGAATGTTGTTGTATGATTGCCTCAGCCATGGTGTCAAGGATGTTGTAAGCACTCCTTTAATAGCATGTAGAGTGCCAAGTAACCCTACCTTGTAACACCCTGAATAAAGCCCATTTGCATAGGGATGTTAGCCCCATTTTATAAATAAGAAAACTGAGGCTTAGAGATTGAAGCTTACCAAGAACACTTGACTCATGGAAAAAGAATTTAAATTACGTTTCAAAGTTTAGGTTTGTCCCACTGTCTATGTTGTTAGAAAACATGACTGATTTTACTGAAAATACTTAATACTCGAATGTGTTTGTACTGTGAGTTACTTCAGTGTTGGCTCAGGAAAAGATGCAATTCAGTGAAGCAGGATAGCAACTCCAGAAATGAGCTCAATCAAAGGAATACAGACCAAAGGGAACAGCCACTATTCCCTTTGATCAATATTTTTGACAGTATGTTTGGGAAAAGCTGGATAATTCAGAATACTGTATATTATTATATTGACTATATTAGTATGGTTTTTAAGGGACTTTTACAACTGGCTTCAAGAGTTTTGTAATTAGACAATTTAGAGTATGATAGGATCATCATGAAACAGAAATTATCTCCTCAAAGGATAGCATTTTCAAGCTAAATATTGGCCGAATTTGGGCCATGGATTATTTTAGCAATTCACTCTTAAGACGTTTCTAGAATATGACTGTCAACAATGTCCATTAATTTCTTTGCATTCAGGTTCCCATACTTTCACTGAAGACAGTGATTTTTGCTGTTATATTTGATACTTTTTATCTTAATGAGATTCATTTATAGAAAGTTATGCTTAGGGCCTTTGGACCTAACCATAACTTTCATTAATTTACACACCAAAATTTTCAAGTTACTTTTAAGGGGATGGATGTTAGGAGTATAAGATTTGTCATAGACCCACCAGTACATTGATCAAATCCTTCAGAAAGTTACATTTAAAAAATGCTATCCCTGCAGCAGGCTTCAGATTTCCTAGATACCTGATACCCACCATTTATAACACACAATGGTAAAGTATAGGAAACAGAGGTGTAGTGTGATTTACCCTCAGATTGTCATTTAAAGTAAAATTTTATAATAGAGGAAAACAAAGGTGTGACATCTTTGCATCACATTTATTACCACCGTGGCTGACAGGATTTTATTTCCTAACACTGAGGAAAACAATATTATCATTTCCGTATTTATCTTTCTTGTTTGCCTGCTTCAATCGATACCCTTTGTATTTAGTGCCTGACCTGGAAGCTGATCTCAACCAGCTGTCTCAGTCAAAGACTGGGGATGAAGGTGGAGATGGTCCTGATGTTCAGGGGATGATTCTGCCAAAATCAGATCAATTTAAAATGCCAGGAGGAGGTATCGCATCCACTAAGATGCAAAATTATGTGCTTTCTGTTTTCCACAATACTATAGTTTTGATAATACAGAGAGAGAACATTACTGCACCTTGAAAAACAGAAAGCAGAATTCAAATGCAGACTTGCTTGGAAAGGTAGTTCAGACCACAGATGCCTTGCTGCAAGACTTAAACACTACCAGATAC